TCTAGAATGTGGCTCACACCTGTAAGCCTAGCTACTCAGGAGGCTGAGAACTAAGTATCACAGTTTGAAGCCAGCCCAGGCAGAAAAATTCATGAAACCCCAATAAACCACTCAGAAAAAAAGCCAGAAGTGACAATGTGCCTCAAGTGGTAAAACATTAGCCTTGAGCACAGAGAAGCTCAGGGACAGTGCCCAGCCTGCAAGCCCCAGGATGGGCAAGAAAGAATGTGAGCAACAAAATTAACTGCATCAAGATGAGAGGAACATTACCTATCTTTAAATGTGAGTTTCACATTTCTTTCCAAAGATTATAGACATGAAAGGGACAAAGTACAGATAAGAAATATGAAAAACACTGCTTGAGTCCAGAGATCTAAGTTTAAATCCAAATTATTAAGTTATATTGACATAAGATGTGCCCATTGATTAGATATGAAAATATTTGCATTGTTTCTCTTTATGTTTTTGGTCCTGCTTAGGCTAGTGTTAAGAAAAATATCAGACAAACTTCGACTAAGAACTTTAACTCAAATGTATGATTGTCAAACAGATTACTAGGTCATTGTGACCTAGGGAGTATAGATTATATATATGTATGTATGTATATATATATATATATATATATACATATACATATATATATTCTGGGGAGTATACACTCAATTAGGTAAAAGGAAAGTCGTCAGAATAAAGAAGAATCATTATGATAGCTCATTATACTAATATGAGAATTGATTTTGGAAATGAAATGGAAAAATTGCTCTTAAATCACAAATGTTCTAAAAATATAAATATATATTTAAAACAATTTATTTTGAATGATCCTGAGAATATGCAGCATGATATTGGTAATTCTGTTCAAGTTGTCACATGTTCAGTGACTTACTATACACACAATTTGTCTAGTTGTTGGAATATACACTGCATAACTTGCCCATTTTCTCTCTGCTCTTCTAAGAGTATGTGTTTATTCTGGCATTACTTTTTGAGGCAAGGACTAGTATATATTGGTGTTCTTATTGGCATAATTTTCTAATAATTTTTTTACCCCTTTTATTTATTTTTTAAAGCTTTTTCTTTCTCTGACTGGATAATTAAGTGACCTATTTTGAGGTTGTCTGACTCTTCTTCAGGATTCAAGTCTGTTGAAACCTTACTAGTAAAGCTTTCAATTCAAATACCACAGTCATATTTTTCTTTGGTCCTTTAATATTTTCTAACATTTTTTTTCATGTACCTTATACTTGATCACTTTGAGTACCTTTATGGTGCTTCTATTGAATAATTTACTGTTTTTGTCCTATCTCTCTTTCTATAGTGTCAGTATATTGAAACTTCATTTTGTTTCTATCTTTGGGCTGCGTTTCCATGCCTCTTTTCATATGCCTTGCAATTTTTCTCTTTTTGAAATCTTTGTATTTGGTAAAACAATGCCATCATGTTCTGCCTTGAAATTAATGAAAGATTAGGGGAATGCCTCAAATGTCTGTCCGTGTGTGTATCTGTGTGTCTCTCTGTGTGTGTCTGTGTGTCTGTGTGTCTGTGTATGTGTGTGTGTGTGTGTGTATCTATTTTCCTTGAATGGGCATATAGAATCTCAACTGCCAAAATTGACCAGTCCTTTTTTTCTTCTTTCTTGCAGAATATACAATGTCTTTTTCATCTGCTGCTTGGCCATCACCATGAAGGTTGAGACACATCACTAGGGTATTTGAGATCTTTCTACTTTCTTCAGTGGGACATTGATTGCTTCAAACTTCCCTCTGAATCCTGGTTTTATTGTATGTGACATCATTAGTATCTCCACTTCATTTGTACCGAAACATTTTGAAATAGCCTTCTTGAATTCTTTACTTTTTTATTATTCAAAAAGAAACTTAAAAAATCTATGTAATATTTTCTAAAGTTTTTCTTATGCACTTTTAATTTCATTGTATTTTGTCATCAAAGATATTCTGGTGACTGTTGTATAAATCACTCTAAAGAATATGTGTACTCTATTGGTTGGATAGAATGTTTTGGGAAAAAAATCTCATTTTTTTAATTCAATGGAATGATTTAATTCTGCTCTCTGTATGTTGATTTCCTATCTAAATTATCTTCCTATTGTTGATAATCTAGAGATAATTTCCTCTACTATTACAGAATCCTAGTTCTTTTATATTTAATAATATTTAAGTATTCTGATGTTATATGTAGTAAATTAAAATATTAATTTTGTTGAATTTGACATATAATAAAGTTGCTAGTATCATTTTATGATTTTTTATATAAAGACTATTTTAGCTGACATAAATATGATATAACTTATCCTTTTACTTTCAGTCTATGAAGGTAACATTTTTCTGATAACCAAGATGTGATTGGGAATGGATTTTAAAATCCATTTGGTCAAAGGGTACAGAAATCAAAAGCAGCAAAAAGAAAAAAAAGGAGAGTGGGATATAAGACAAAAAAAAGAAAAGAAAAACCACAAATAGCACAATAAGAGAAACTCTTCCTTCCATTACTTGGAGGGAGTTTATTTTGCTAAGTATCATTTTATATGATCATTGACACATAAGTTATTGAGTCCTTGTGATCCTCTCCTAAGAAAATCCTCCTTTGGTCTCCCTGTGTGAGTGTTTCACTTTTGTCCCTGCTTTGGATTTCTGTACCCTTTGTCTTGTATATAAGTTCGTCTGATTTGGGAAGGGAAAAGGGAAGCAGAGAAATGGTGGGATAAAGAGTGAACTAATTCACCAGTGCTACTCACTAGACACTATTTTGGAAATGAACTATGTAACTTGGGATGGAAGGGGGTCAAGAGGGAAAAAATGGAGAAAATGAGGGAGAGGGCAGCACTGTTCAAAAAAAAATGTAATTACCTGACTTACGTAATGGTAACTACTCTATAACCACCTTTACAATAAAAAAATCCATTTGGATTTGATGTTTTCATCCACTAGTGTTATAGATAGTCATAAAAAATTAAGATATTATTACTGCTTTTGATAATTTACTTTCTAGTTTTGTTTTCATTTTGTTTATTTTGCCTTGTCTTAAGAGTATTCCTTTGTAGAGAAGACATATATTCTCATCTAGTGAATTTTGATCTGCTTTTTTTTTGGCAACCAGTACCAATTTTTGGTTACTGTGGGCTTATAAAATATCCTTATCATAAATGGAAAAAGAGAAATTGTACTAAATATAATGAAATATACTTGTATTCTTTTCTCCCCCATATTTTCAAGTACTTGTGTCCCATTTTGTCTTTCTATAATGCATTTATCTGTAACACATTAACATTACTCTTGTTTAAATAGTTATATTTTTACTCTTTTTTTTTGCTCTTTACTCTTTATTTTTAAACTTAAATTATTAATGCTTACTGTGTCATAATTACAAGAGAGGTTTGAATGCTTTATGGTGCATACTTTATAAGAAATTTAATGCCATCTATAATGAACCCTTATATCCTAAGCACTTCTTTTCTTTCTTTTTTCTTTTTTGTGCCAGTCATAGGGCTTGAACTCAGGGCCTTAGATCTGTACCAGAGCCTCTTTGTGCTCAAGGCTAGTGCTCCACCACTTGAGCCACAGCACTACTTCCAGCTTTTTCTGAGTAGTTCATTGGAAATGAGTCTCATTGCCTTTTCTACCTGATCTGGCTTTCAAGGGTGACCCTCAGCTTCAGGCTCCTGAGTAACTAGGGTTACAGGTATGAGAACCTCTTAAAGAAGCCTCCATATAATAGATCACATCAGTAGGTTTCAAACTTGATATTGGAAGGGATACACTGAAATCATAACAGGTACATACCGTGGCTATTTGAAATAGTTCTTCACAACATTTAGATATGCCTTAAGAGTCTTCTCAAAACCTACTAATCATATACAACTACTAGTTGCTGATGGAATGCTGCTGCATTTTTCCAGACATTATGGTGAAGGTGAATGAGACAACATTTGTTTAATCACAGCTTGTGTTAGATGGCCACTCACTTGGTAGCTGTTATCATTCGAATCTCCTGTCCTTCAAGGCCCACAGGTTAAAGGCTTTGTCTACAGGAATGTGTTATTGGGACGTGGCAGAAACTTCTAGAAAAGAGACTAGAAACTCTGTAATAGCCAACAATTAAAAAGTTACATTTTTCTGAGTATGGAATGGTACCAAATCTTTTGCTCTTGTCTTTCCTTTTAAAAATGAGATGTAATTCATACAGTTGAGTGAATGAACTTGGAGAGTATATTATTAATATTAGTAAAAACATATCACACAATTGTTGTTTGTTAAGCAGAGGTTACGTGAGCATTGTTTCAAAAGCAAATTGGTGCTTAGGCATTTTCATATTACTGCAATTATTTCATTATCTATTTTGAGCTATAAAATCATAATTGTTAATAAAAAAAACTCTTGAATTTGTGGTATGATAAAGCAACTAGCCTATACAATGTGCCTAGCACAGTCTTCATCCTAAAAGCAATAAAACTGATTATAGTTATCTGTTCTTTTGCTTATGATTATTTGGGGAAAAAAGTATAAAAGGAGTTCCAAGTACTCTCATAATCAATATAACCAAAATTATGTGAAAATCAGCCATAGTATGGATAATAGCTTATCACTCTCTCTGTTTAGATAATTTCCCCTTGATATGTTTTTCCCAGGTATGATGATATGGATTATGCACAGTGCTTACATACTTTGACCATAAATGAGATTGCTATTCTATATCAACATTTTAATAAATATTTCATGGAAAGAAAAGCATATGAGTCAAGATGCATGGGTAAACTGGCAAAAGTAAACTGTGAATTTTCAGAATTTACAATATGCAACTGTCAAAATCTGCACCCCTTCTGCCTCCTTGAATACCGAATCTATGTATACAGAATCTACTCTACAGATTTACAGTTGTAGTTTAATTTCCTTCCTTAGAGAACTATTCTTTGTTCAGATCATCCCAACTATTTTTTTTTTAATCCTTTACTCGGTTGGGTGAATGTTTGACATTTGGCACACTTACTGTTGAACTGGGAGAACTTTCCTATGAAACATTTTCTTAATGGCATTTTTCATCTGGTCATTTCTCAAGGTGTAGATCAAGGGATTTAGCATGGGAGTTACCATGGTGTAGAAGACAGCAACAGCCTTATCGATGGCTAACGTAGTTGCAGGTCTTAGGTACACAAACACACATGGCACAAAGTACAAGACTACCACGGTGATGTGGGAGACGCAGGTGGAGAGGGCTTTGCGCCTCCCCTCCACGCTGTGCTTCCTCACCGAGCTCAGTATGACCACGTAGGAGGCCAGCAGAAGGAGAAAATTTAACAGACAGATGAAGCCACTGTTGGCAGCCACGAAGAGTCCCAGCGTGTGAGTATCCATGCAGACCAGAGCAAGCAAAGGGTTCAGATCACACATGAAGTGATCTATGACATTTGGACCACAGAAGGGCAACCAGACGATGAACAGGAGCTGTATGGTTCCATGAAGAAAGCCCCCCACCCAGGACACACCCATCAGAAGATTACACATGCGCTGGTTCATGATGGTTGTGTAGTGCAGGGGCTTACAGATGGCCACGTAGCGGTCATAGGCCATCACTGTGAGCAGGATGACCTCTGCTCCTCCAAAAAAATGTTCCCCAAAGACTTGAATCATGCAGCCACTGAAGAAGATGGTCTTTGTTTCATGGAGGGAATCGGCGATCAGTTTAGGGGTACTGACAGAAGAATAGCAAGCATCGATAAAGGAGAGATAAGCCAGGAAAAAGTACATCGGGGACCCCAGCAGTGGACTTCCGGTGATGGTGAACACAATGAGCACGTTCCCAGTCACAGAGATCACGTAGATGAGCAAAAAGAGAACAAAGATGGGTTTCTGCATCTTTGGGTTTTCTGTGAGGCCCAGGAGAACAAATTGAGTCACATTGTTCCTGTTCTCCATGTATTTAATGTGAAAGTCACTTAAATTACCTGAAAAAAAGGTAATACAATTTTGAATTTACTTGGCAGCTTCACTCTAATAAATATGAAATGCCTGCATTCCATTAGACTGTGAAATCTAAGTAAGGGACTTCGCTCAACTTCAGTTTATTATTTTCAGAGGTAAAACGGGTGCCTTTTTGAATTCTTTTTTTTTTTGGTCGATCGTGGGGCTTGAACTCTGGGCCTGGGCACTGTCCCTCAGCTCTGCAGCTCAAGGCAAGTGCTCTACCACTTGAGCCACAGCGCCACTTCCAGTTTTCTAGTGGTTTATTGGAGATAAGAGTCTCGCGGACTTTCTTGCCCAGGCTGGCTTTGAACTGCGATCCTGAGACCTCAGCCTCCTGAGTAGCTAGAATTACAGGCGTGAGCCACCAGCGCCCAGCTTTGAATTCTTAAAGATTACTCAAACTGCTCTTGGATGAAGAGGAAAAGATTATGATGGAGGAACTTCTGAGATATACAAAGAACAAGCCAGTCTGAACACACTTAGTTGTCTGAGTATTGTAGGCCAGAGGCAAAATAGAAGCAGGAGACTGCTGCTCCCCACACATGCTGCAGCTAAGACCTCAGAAACAAGAAAGGACAAGCGTCATTTTATACTTAAAGAAAGTTGCCTTTTATTACTAGGAAATCGGGAGTCATGAAAGGTAATTGTCAATATCTGCAGATATTGACAGGAATATGAGAGGAAAGGACTCTTGGAATGCCCTTGAGTGAACAAACAGCTGTCTGCGTCTTGATAAGCAGAGTGAGATTTGTGAGATGTAGAAGGTCAAGTCATCTGATGGGGAGTGTTTATAGAAAGTGATCTAAAGAATGCCAGGACAATAGCAAGGGGAATGTAATGAAACCAACAGCTAGGCACTCTAGCATAATTCATAATACAGGATGATTTGTATTTAGTGTCTTTGTAATAGCCAGCCATAAAAAAATGACATTTTTCTGAGTATGGAGTGGTACCAAATCCTTTGGACATGGATTTCCTTTTAAAAATGAGTAATAATTCATACAGTTGAGAGAATGAACTCAGCAAGTATCATATTAATATTAGTCATTCATTTAACGCTGATGGTGTTCTGAGTTACTGCAGACCCTTGCTGATTTCATGCCCACTGAAATGTGTTTGTCATCAATAGTGCCACTTTTAGGCATCTCTTAAATTTGTTTTTACTAGTGATAACAACACAGAGAAGCTAAGGCTCCTGCTCAGAACAGCAAGGGACATAATAGAAGAGACAAGTAAATTTATTTTTAATCCTCACAGTATCGCCCTTTAGATTCACGAACTTCATTGTCATCTAGGTTCTCAGCCTTCATCATACCTGAACTGTTGTATTTTTACATGACCATAGTCATTTAAATTTCCTTAATTCTTCTTTAGGGGCAGTATTTTAGGAGGCAAATTATCAGTAGACACAGAGAAAGTAAAAGTGTTATTGTATGCTTGGAAGAATTCCTTTATTATTGTCTGCCCTATTAGATTCAGGTTTTCCTCCCCTAATACTTCATAAAGTATGCACTTCTGGATTCTGCTGAGAACAAGTTTGAGAACCAAAAAGAATAGATTAGACTTCTGTTCTTCCAATTATGACATAATTTAGCTTGGGCATATTTCCTAGCAGTTCATATACCTTTCTTAACATCTATTGGTAAAATCAGATTGGAACCTCATGGATTGCTAGGAAATTTGTTATCTGAGCTAGAGATACATATACAGGAGCTTTCGTGTATTGTTATAACTGTGTACGTTTTCAGAAGTTAAGCAGAACTGGCAGCATGGGAAGCAACAGAACGTGCCTATAAATCTACAAGTAAACACACTGGGTGGTTAAAAAAAATATGCTGTGCATTATTTACCATAGCTAAGATATGGAACCAACCCAGATGCCCCTCAGTAGATGAATGGATCAAGAAAATGTGGTATATATACACAATGGAATTCTATGCCTCCATCAGAAAGAATGACATTGCCCCATTTGTTAGGAAATGGAAAAACTTGGAAAAAATTATATTAAGTGAAGTAAGCCAGGCCCAAAGAAATGTAGGTCCCATGGTTTCCCTTATTTGCAATATCTAGTACATGTATGAGTCAAGCGGAAAAGGTCAGATAATGTGATGTCAGGAAAATGAACCCTTAGATGTGTATTTTAATGTTTTTTTCTTTCATGCATGTGTTTCTAACACATTTATAAGATTATCTCTTTGTTGTTGTTCCTCCCCCACAGTATAACCCCTGCTTTCATTATATTTGATGTCAGTATAACTTGTGGAGGAGATGGGGAAAAACCAGTTGTTTAAGGATACAGGTGGACCTGTTGCAACAATGAGAAGTACAAGTTGTCATGTCCAAAACGAGCTTTACAACGTTGGTGCCGGGGGGGGGGGGGGGGGGGGGGGGGGGGAATGGGGGGAAGGAGAAGGATTGGGATTAGGGGGGGAGGGGGAGGCTGGGAAGGGATGTGAAGGGTAAACAAAGGAGGAGGCTGCAATGCTTGGTAAGAAATATACGCATTATCCTGCCCATGTAACTGTAACTCCTCTGTACAGTATGTTCACAAATAAAATTAAATTAAATTTAAAAAAAAAAAAGAAAAAAAATATGCTGTGACATGATAGATAACTTTTACAGATCTCTAGCCATTCACACAGTGGGGTCAAAGATGGTATTCATAGCAGATCTTAAAGGCTAAAGAGCTATGTGCATATGATCACATAAAATTATACTTATCAAAATGAACTTTAAGAAATAGAAATGACATTTTTGTTGTTGTTGCTTTGCTGTTATTGGTGTCTTTTCTTTTTGTCTTGTTTGTTAGTCTGTCTTTGGGAGGGTAAGGGGGACACAGAAAAGTTGGAACAAAGGGAGAACAAATACAACAGTGGTACTCACTAGATACTAGAAAATGAACTGTACATCTTGTGAGTGGAAAAACAGAGAGGGGAGAGAGAAAGAGAAGAAGAGAGATGGGGAGGGGGGAGAGAGAGAGAGAAGGGGAGAGAGGGGGAGAGGGAGAGAGAGAGAAGGGTGATACTGTTCAAGAAGAAATGTACTCATTACCTGACTTATGTAACTGTGACCCTCTCTGTACCTCCTCTGTATTGTGATTCTACAATAACAATAAAATATATTTTAAAGAACTATTTGGCCCTGAAAGAAACCTATATGAGAATCATCTCCAATATTCCTCTTAGGGAAGCCATAGAGAGTTCAGTATCCATCGTATATGATCCCAGAATGAGTTTTCCATGTTTGTGCATTGACTCAACATTTGTTGCTTATATTTTAGAAGTTTAGCTTTGAAATTCTTTTTTAGTGTTTTTTATTGTAAAGATACTATACAGAGGGGTTACACTTATATGAGTAAGGTAACAAGATGCTTGATAGGAATATTTTTATTTATATTTTTGTAGGTGAGAATATTAGCTCATACTTGTGTTCATCTTTATGATTACTCTTAGATATAAAAAGCTGTTTATCAAGGCAAAAATAGCCATTCCTGGAGTTTACAATTCAACTAATGAGAATTTTATCTTCCAATTTAAAGTCATATATTTGTTAACAGTCATTTGAAGAAAATATGGCACAGATGAAATATACATTGCATGTACTTAATGTATATTGATTACAACATATGAAAGTAATATTTAGTTGAGTAACTTAACATACTAGTACTCACTGATCTTAATGAGGGGAGGAACAATTATTTCAATCCCGGCATCCAAAGGACCTCCTCTGGTAATATAAAACTTTCACTATTCAAGATGTGATAGACTTGCCAAAAAGACTCTTCAGATAATTCCATATCAAATCAGTAACTAGTTCAGCAATCTTCCCTTCTTTCTGAAAGCCAAAAACATCTTCACAGGTACCTGAAGTTGGAATTTAAAAAGGATTTTCTTGATAGTCTTAGAGAAATTATTTTGTTTCCTGATCCCAGTCCTACAAAGCAAGAGGCTCAAAAGTTTGGGAAAAAAGCCTTTCTGATAGTTCTCCACACTCATGATCAACCTTGCTCTGAATATGTAGGCTATCATTCAAGGATATGTAGAGAGATTTCTATAAATATTCACAGACTTTGTCTTTGTAGCTGTGTTTTCTCTCCCAGGAATTCATTATCTCCTGTGATGAAAAGCTTTTGCCTTAGAAGCAGGTGTTCTTGAAAGACACATTGAAGAATCATCCAGTCTTGAATGAAGAATTGTCTTCTCTAAAGTCAGAACAGTAGTATGTGGGAGTCCCCTCTCTGTGTCCAAATATGGTTGTTAAAGAATCAAATGTCATATGAATGGCAAAATAACTGCTGATTGAATTTTCTTAAAGAGGCAGAGTATTGAGGCAACTTCCTTCTAACCAATATTAAGTGATTTGTGTAAACTTGTTCTTGATCATTTGAGAGTTAATCCCAAGAAAAAGTAGAATTAATTGTAGACATTTTAAAGTGCTTAACTCTGAATGCTGCTTTTTTTATTTCTCAAATTGCTTTAGATTTTATCCAGAAACTTTTAAATGATGCATATTACACTTTTCTCTCAGATTCAAATCCAGGTCAATATGAATCATGCGGATATAGTTAAAACCAAGAAGGGTTTTCTAAATCAGGCATAGTAATACACACTAGTAACACTAAAACTTGGGTTGTAAGTGCAAAGTCAGCCTGGGAAAAACAATGAGTCTATACCACCCTGATATATATATATATATATATATATATATATATATATATATATAGTAAAATCTTGCTGAAAAACAACAAAAAAGAGTTCCAGTCACCCTCTAATTTGTTATTTGTCTATTCATTTATTTGTCATACCTCAACTTTTATGTAAAATCAAAACTTGTATATGGTAGCAGGGTACTGTATTATATTGAATGCATTATAGATATGGCAAATTGAGCAAGTCAGATGGAACATACTTCTCCACATTTATGATTTTTATGAGATAATAGGCAAAATTCTAGCTTTATGAAGTCTATAG